AGAACAATGCCATTAACAGTGTTATTTCTGTTTAACAGTAAAATGTAAAATAATTATGGATTCCATCTAGGACATTTGATGGTATTTTCGCATAGTTGAATCAGCTTCATTTCCGACTCTTCCTGGGTATGACGATAAACTACTTCCGTGTCCAGGGTAAGACAGTAAACTACGTCCAACAGCAAAACCAAGCGTGGAACGACCTCTTAATTGATGATGTTCCCATGTCCGACTGACCCGGGGCGGTAGCACATGTTAGGATCTCAGCTATGGGCAAATAGCCCGACAATGAGACTACATACGTGTCCTGGGTATGATGATAAACTACATCCGCGTCCAAGGTAAGACGAAAAACAACGTCCAACAGCAAGGCCTCTGATCAGGAGGTTTTGAGGAGCATGGAACTTCCTCTTATTTGCTGGTGTTCTCAGGTCTACCCTGACTCGGGGTGGTAGCACCTGTTAGGGTCCCATCTATAGGCAAATAGTTAACACCAAAACTGAGGTAAAAAAAAAACAACATTATAACAGTTTAAAAGTAGGTTTTAATATCAGAAATACTTCGTAAAAAATAATATTATATTATTTTTGCAAGCATAGCAGCCCAAGCAAGGAGGGAGGATAAAGAGAAGGTAGGAGTTCAAAATCAAGGCATCAGAATATGTTGATTGACATTACATTTGCCTATTTGAAGATTATAGCTATCATGGAAGTAAGTAAGAGGAAGGGTGTTCCACTGTCCGGAAGTGCGAGATAAGAAGTGGTTGGAATAGAAGAGACGGCTACATTTAAATGCAGTGAAAGGTTGGGACCGATATGCCAACCTAGTAGCACGCTTAAATTCATGCAGTTTGGGTACCAGTGAAAGTAGCTCATCAGGCAGTTGCCATGAAAATATTTCTTGAAAAGAGAGAGGGAAGCCACAGTACGTTTGTGGGAAAATGACTGTAGACAAGATGCCTATCAAATTGCATATCCGTCTCTGGATTTTGTCGAGGACCTCGGGATGAACATCGGGGGTACCATACCATATATGGCAACAGTATTCAATGCAAGGACGAATGGTAGATTTGTAGACATCAATGATGAACTCATGTCAGAAAAAACCTTCTGGCGCGGCACAGAGAACCAACTTTCCTTGCGGTAGAAGAAGCTATTGATTCAATATAGTTGTTCAACCTCAGGCCAATTGAAAGCGTGAGACTAAGCAGGTGCAGAGAGATGCTCTCGTGCAGTTGGTCATCAGTCATTCTGATGGGAGGCAGGGAGGATTCTCTATGGTAGGTTTCACTCATGTCATCTTGTATTTATTTCTCAATCGTCTTCTTTTTTACTATCATAATCATTATTTATGACAACATTGTCTTTCATATCATACACACCATTCAACATTGATCATAATTCTCTATCTTGTGTAACCCTCCAGCCTATTTATTGGTGGAGTATAGCATTACAAACACAAATATAAATCCATTTAATGGCTATATGATAATTTATTTTTGCTGTACGAAGCAGTTAATGCGACAAAAATGTCATCAAGGGACTTTTTTTAAACCAATTTTCCCCAGGTAAGATGATAATGTCACTGAGACGCGGGGCATTATTTGGAGTAAAAAGATCGAGAAAACTTTAGAAGAAACCGGAAACCCAGTCAAACATCAAACAAAGAATGGACCTATACACCTGTTCAAAATACCATGGAAGAATTTGGACCGGGTGGCAGGCAAACCTATCTACTGCTAACGTCAGTAACCAATGTGCAGCAAATTTTTAACTGAAAATAGAGTTTACCAGGCAGTTGTGAAAACTAGAGGGAATATGACATCCTTTGTTGGCGCTACTGAATGGCTATACAAATAAAGACAGTAGGTACAACAAAACTTCTTTTATCAGTTGGTTTTGCATCTACAGTCCAAAAATAAGAATCGCTGGGAATTGAAAGACAAAAACAGAGATTGGATGTGAAATGGATAACTTAAGAGGAATCCTTTGCAAGCAAATTAAATTTTAAGCGGTGATGCTAGTCTGTTCATAATTTTTTCCAAAGATATTGGCATCATTCCTTTTTGATTTTGAGTCTTCAAGATTCATATACCACGATAGAATTCATGACATTTATTTTAGATATTAAGAATCATTCATTTCCTGGCGATTTTGCCTCCAAAAAACGAAAACAGTGTCTGTGTCTGCTTGTCTAGTTCCCAAAGAAAAAAGGCGGTTAGTGCTAAAAATTGGTGCAAAAAATACCCAACTTCATTCTAAAGAAAATACGAAAAGCAATATCTATTTACATTATTCGAACAATTGCCCTCATGTTTGTCGCCATGCTTATCACAACGTTTCGGCTCTTGTACACTCCGGCCTTCTTCAGGTGGTTGGAATGTCGAACTGAACCCTTTATTTCGCTCACTGGGGTGTGACACTATTTAGGTTGCTAGAAAGAAAGAAGAAAAAAAGGCGAGAATTAAATTTAGGTGATAAAAAGCGATCACGAACAGGAC